GCTGCTGTATAACTTTAAGACCCTTAAGCTGCTGTATAACTTTAAGACCCTTAAGCTGCTGTATAACTTTAAGATCTTAAGCTGCTGTATAACTTTAAGAACCTTAAGCTGCTGTATAACTTTAAGACCCTTAAGCTGCTGTATAACTTTAAGATCTTAAGCTGCTGTATAACTTTAAGACCCTTAAGCTGATGTATAACTTTAAGACCCTTAAGCTGATGTATAACTGTAATCCTTGTGTGTCAATAAGTGCTCAAGTGACCTCTTGGTTGGGAAAATAAACTGTACAGCAACGCTTGCCAACCTGGGATGTATCAATCACGTCTTGCGGGCGATTTGGTAGTTTTGTTGGGTCACTAGAGTAGTGACAGGTGATATCTGATGTTACACTGAAGCGTCACGTGGAAATGTAGGTAGGCGTTAGGAAAAGTTGAGCCTCGTAAGGTAAGATAACATAAGATAAGATAATACATTATTATCCCAGAGGGAAATTTTTCTTGGCTGAACAGGACCGTAAAAACACATGCAGGTATACATTTAAAAAACGTAATTATACATTACTCTTCTTAAAATTCAATACGAAAAGAGAAAGAAAGCTGATAAAATGTACTTTCACATCAAATGTATCATTCAAACACAAGCAGGAATTTAATTACAAGACCTTTGGAGTTATATAGATACATACTCTAAAGAGCAACACACATCTATGCTCATTCTGACAATAGCCTTTTATGCTAGATGGTTTTAAAAAACTTCTTTTATATTATCTTTCTTTCTTGTAAGTGCGGACAATGCGAGCGCTGTCTATGAAAAGGCGGACAAGCAGTGGCGCAGAATTATGCAAACGAATATTTTCATTTAGAGAAGCAAATCCACTACATTGTTCGCGTCAAAAAGGAAGAGAATATAGGCTACCGTTTTTTTGTTTCTGTTTAAGCCTTAAGAAGTTGTCGCAATTCAACTGTAAGTGAAAGTTACACATATTGTTACAAGTTTTCTTCCTCTTCTTCTTCTTCTTTTTCTTCTTCTTCTTCTTCTTCTTCTTCTTCTTCTTCTTCTTCTTCTTCTTCTTCTTCTTCTTCTCTCTCTCTCTCTCTCTCTCTCTCTCTCTCTCTCTCTCTCTCTCTCTCTCCCTCTCTCTCTCCACTCTCTCTCTCTCTCTCCTTCTCTTCCTCTACCCTTTAGAAAAAAGGAGGAAAACTTTATCTTGTCCCGAATCAGCTCCGAAATCTATTGTCAGTGACCCTCAAATAATAATCCCCTGCCAAATGGACATGTACATAGCCATGACCAGTACCAGTATCTGACTTGTGACGTTTCTCACCCGTGCTGCTAACGTCCCGGACACAAACATGGTCCACTGTGACTGTAGGACTCAGGCGCGTCGCTCAACCGTGCGCTGTTTTTGTACCGAGCGGGGTCCAACCCGCTGTTATTTGGGCGAGCAGAGGGGGGGGGGGGTTGAGGGGTTGTCTGTGGGACTTAAGGAGGAAGCCTCAGCAAAGAATTAAGAGACATGCTTCCTCGGATCTGAATGAGATCGATATGGGGCAGTGATTTTGTGACTCGAGCGCCTACTGACAAAATGAGTTACTTCTCGGATTCAGGCCTTAAGGAAATAGATACATCACACTTATAGGTGAAGTTTTTCTAGTTTATAAGTATGAAATAAAAGGTATGTTATACTTAAAGAATATGGCACCGACAGAAAATCTACAAATTTGACCCTAGTGTACATTTTTTGCCAATATCTCCATTTGGGGACTTCGAGAATACACTCATTTTGCCAGCACAATCCCCAGCAAAGAATTAAGGGACATGCTCCCTCTAATCTGAATGTGATCGATATGGGGCAGTAATTTTCACCGATTCAATGGTGTGCAACGCCAGTATCTATCTCCCTCTTGGTTTCAAACGGCAGTTAGTTTCAGTCTTGTTATCGAGGTAAAAAGTTTTTCTGGTGGTTTGTCATTTACTGTAGTAAAGAGAGCTGTTTTCGTTCTGGGTTTTTTCCTTCTTCTTTAGATCTAGTCGATGAAGCTGTTTTTCAGCCATGCTTTCTACTAGTCTTTAAGGGAAGTGTTGGAAGATAATATTTAATATTACAGCTAGTGAAATTGTGTTGTCTTAAATGGGGGAGGGGGAGGGGGGGATATATTCTATCTTTGTTTAATCATCTCTTGAACGAAAGTACTATCTTGTCTGTAAAAACGTAGATGAAAACATCTGAGCAATGAAAGGTTTAGGACAATTATAGTAGTCCGTCCATCGTGAACTGATGATGACCTTTAAGATCCAAGGAGAAAGAGGCTAGTTGGAGCGTTACCTATTTGTGCGTATGCATGAGTGCACCTAACCTTTGTAACGCCTACTGCCATTGTTAACGACCAAGACAAATTTCTCCCTGCGAGATGAATAAATATTGTCATTGTCATTGCCATTGTCATTGTCATTTATCATTACCAGCTGAAGAGCCCAAATTTCATCCCCCCCCCCCCCCCCCATATTCCACAACAAAATAACATGTCGAGACACGACAGAGTCAGAGACTCGTCAGTTTTGGGGCATAGTAAGTTATTGGTTTATTCATAATAATGATAATAATAATAATAATAATAATAATAATAATAATAATAATAATAATAATAATAATAATAATAATAAATGACATTTATATAGCGCTCAAACCCCGATTAAAGTACACAGGCTCTGAGCGCTTTACAACACAGTACAACGTACAATAGTAACAAAAAACGTTGTTTTCTGACTAAAAGAAAATCACTCCAAATATTCATCTTATTAATCTAAAAACAGCCTGTCATTTGTCTTGCTTTATTGAAAACAATACCCATCGATCTTGAATAGAAGTCGAAACATTTTGGAGAAGAGGTGGGGGTCGATTAGTGTCAAAGAAAAATGGTCGTCAAAGTTTAGTAATTTTCAAAGCTTCCATGTCATTGTAAATGACAAAATTTCTAATCTTTTCGTGCCTTTGATCGACTTTCATCAGTAAAATCCACACAGAGATATGTCGTTGAAAACTGTCCAACGGCGGAAAAAAAAGTCGTTTTATTCGATTTCATTATCTATACGAGCGACTGGTTTCACGACCACGGCGCAAATATGATACCAACAAACAAAAAAAAACAAAAAAAAAGAATAACATGCTCGGAGTTCCTTTTGACCAAATGTGGGGCGTGCTGACAAAACGAGGTACCACTCGCAGTCGCAATCCACACATGGAGATATTGGCCAAAAATTGACATCATTGTCAAATTTGTAGATTTTCTATTGATGCCATATTCTTTAAGTATGACGTACCTTTTATTTCATACTTATAAATTGTAGAAACTTCACCTATAAGTGTGATGTATCTATTTCCTTAAGACCTGAATCCGAGAAGTTACTCATTTTGTCAGCACGCTTCACAAATTGTCCCTTTTAAGGACGACCAGGCTAACCCAGATTTCGGAGGTTTCAAGAAATCTTGACCTTCACCAAAAGTGAGCCTTGCCCTACCTATAGGAGAAGTTTGGTTTCATTAGTGTGTATATTTGTTTGGTTATAGAGAAAACCTTCCTTGAGTTTTAAAGAAACTGAACAAGGGTCCAAAGACTTTATTTTCGATTTTCTCAAAACAAATTTTTTCGGGATAACCCTCTTATGCTCATAAGCGACCAAATATTTTATTTCTTCCAGAATACCTGTGTTGATCCCATCGTCCACAACTCAGAGCTGACCATGGACCCGGCATCTTACGCCCGAGCCCATGGGGTACAGAGTGAAGCCAGCAAGGTCACAGTCACAAGGGTAGCCTGCGGGGAGCTACAGTACAGGAGAGAGGTGGACACCTACAGGTGAACATTGCACTTTTTCTTACAGCTGAGGATTTTTTACTGGTATAAACAGTTTTAAAATGTTCTACGCTTCACCTTCACCTACACCTATCACGTAGACTGGATGTCCGTGGGGGCGTTTTTGAAGATTTGGCCATCAGCTTCCTACACTCCTTCAGGTCTTCAGTTTTTCTGAGCTTGTCTTTGAGTTCCAGGCCTGTCCATTCCTTGATATTGTCCTCTCAACTCTTCTTCGGTCTGCCTCTGCTCCTTTTTCCCTGGACGCTGCCTTGCAGGATCATATTGGCAAGGCCGATGAACGGATGATGTTTCCATACCATTGCAGTTTGCGTTTCCTGACCAGAGTGAGAAGGTCAGCATATGGTCCGATTTCATTTCTTTGATTCGTTGTTTGACTTCATCATTTGTGGTGTGATCTTTATATGAGACAACAAGGATTTTTCGGAAGCATCTCATCTCCACAGTTTTGATCCTTCTTTCAAGGTCTGCATTCAAGGTCTGCATTCAAGGTCCAGGTTTCACATGCATACTAACATACTGATCAGGGAACGCTTACAAAGTGAAGAAAAGAAGCTGAAAATGATTTATACTTGATCACCCTACAAGAACTTACTTTTTGTACGTGTAATAATATGATTTTGAGTAACAAATCATGGTTCACTGGAAATTATCAGAACTATTTGATATTTCAGGTTAATTTTAACACTGCTGAAATAAATCGTATAACCTTGCTTTCGTAACTCTATAATGTGTAAGTTGGAGATTTTGTTGTGTATTTTTTTTATATGAGGGTGGGCACTTTAAATAGTTTTAACTTTTTGACCTCGTTTGTTAACCCTACCCGTACGTCGTGTTTTACTATCGTATCCATACGATGTGGGGAACTCACCACTTTACAAAGAGGAAATACGCTTTGCTTAGCAGTCTGTCAAAATGATTTTTTTGAGAAATAGAAAGTTTCAAAGAGATCTTCGTACTAGAAGTATTCTAAAATGTGAAGAATACATCCCTGGAGGTACAAAATGACCCCAGGGCGCACGGATTGGGTTAAACACGTAACATGATCAGTGCTTCATTCTGGAATTGAACCATATTAGTGAAGTAGGTGGACTACTGGTCAGGCTGTCAGGCTCGTAACCAAAAGGACATGGGTTCGAACCCCAACAGGGGCCAGACGTTGTGAAAGGCACAGTACATAGGTCGCCCTCACTTCAACCTCATGGGAAAGGGTACTATTATTATTAGTAGTAGTATCATTGTTATTATTGTTATTATTGTTATTATTGTTATTATTATTATTATTATTATTATCATTATTAGTATTAATATATTATTGTTATTATTATTTTTATTATTATTATTATTATTATTATTATTATTATTATTAGTAGTAGTAGTAGTATTATTATTATTATTATCATTATTATTAGTATTATTAGTATTATTATTATTATTATTAATATTATTATAATTAATCATTATTATTATCTTTATCTTCATTATTATTATTATTATGATTATTATTATTATTATTATTATTATAATTAATCATTATTATTATCTAATTCATTATTATTATTATTATGATTATGATTATTATGATGATGATTATTATTATGATGATTATTATTACTAATTATTATTATTATTATTATTACTATTATCATTATTATTATTATTATTATTATTATTATTATTATTATCTTTATCCTCATTATTATTATTATGATTATGATTATTACTATTACTATTATTATTATTATTATTATTATTATTATTATTATTATTATTATTATTATTATTATTATTACTATCTTTACCCTCATTGTTATTATTATTATTATTTATTTATTTACTTTTAAAAAGAATTTTTAAAGATGACTATTATTTTTAATATTATTATCATTATTATAAATTAATATTATTATAGTAGTAGTATTAGTATTATTGTTTTTATCAGTATTATTATTAATAATAATATATTATCATTATATATTGCTTTTGTTGCAGGCGGGACATGCAGTCCAAAGTGACCAGCATACGACGGGAGCAGCGGAAACTGCGGCGGTGCATGCGCGGCTACCGACGGAAACTGAAGGAATCTCAGCTCTCCCATGGGGACGAGGGGAAGACTGTTGTTCGTGACGACGAAGAGCCTGTAACAACCGACGACATCGTTTTCCCCGGAGCAGTTGACACGACCGTTATGTTCGGTGGTTTGTCCGCGCCGCCAGACATTCAGCACTTTCACGAACACGGAATCTCATTGGTTGGCATAGACCGGAAACCGCTACGAGGTCATTCCGATGTCTATGGGGTTTTTGATGGTGGAGACGAACTTACGAACGATGTGAACGAACAAGAGGCTGGTGATGATCATCTGAAAGCTGATGAAAATGCGACAAGAATGGTTATCGAAAACGTCGGTAGGACAGCGCGATGGGGTTCGGGGAAGATTGGAGGTACCTCGTCGACTAAACAAAATGCAGCAGCGTGTGACGAAGAAGACGCTTACTCCCTCTTATCCGACAGTTCGGAAGATGAGGATGATGAGCAGCAAGGAGGCGTTGAAGACATTGAGGTTGTGATTTTCAAACACGGCCGATTTTTTAAACAAAGTGCTCCAGGATCACTGACACGCACCAAGAGTTCTGTGTACTTGAAAGCCCCACCAGCCAGAGAGGGTGAGCGGGTAGAAGAAGCTGAAGAGATGGAAGGTGAGACTACCGAAGATGGTCAAAAGGAAGTTCTGGACAACGAAGCTAACACAAATGATGAAACAGAAGAGACTAATCTTTTGGGTAACGTTGTTCATCAAGGACATAAAGATAGCAGTTTTGTAAATTCAACCCCGTCAGTGCTGCCATCAATTAAGGGAACAGAAAAGAAAGTTAAAGAACATGTCGTTCTTCTGAGAGAACCGACAGATCTGAAGGTGCTGGAACGTAAAAAGAAACTCCAGAAGAAAAGGAGTGGGGGTGTCTCTTTCGGTGACCTCATGAAGTTCCAACACGGTACTAGTACTAAAAGACTATTCGCTCTCGTGGACCGACTGGCTGAACAAAACGGTCTTTCTGAAATAAAGGAGGAGCATCACCTGACCGCTGCCAGAGACCCCCGCGTCAACGCAGCCGTTAAAAGACGCGCCTTGGGTCAAGGTCTCACAAACTCTGGCCCGTCGTCCATGACGACGTATGGCTCTGTGTTCTACACCATGAAGTTCGGCTACGTGTCAGACGCCGAAGACACACACGACAATGGGGAAAGCGGTCTCTCCTTGAACGACAGCACCAGCCCCATGCCCGTGACAAAGAATCAAAACCTAAACCCCTTTTCCTTAAAACCTCCACAACCCTCATTCAGAGACAACAAGCCCATGTCGGAATATTCGAATTACTCATTTGATGCACCAACCTCGATGCTTTCCACGGATTTTTCTTTTCTCAATGTACAAAGTTCTGACGATGTCGACGGCAGGAAACTCAGCCAATCCGAGCCAAGAGGTGGACATCCCCCTCGAACTGAAGCCACGCGAGCGAGCGACTATCAAACCCGAGTGATAGACCAGGTATGGGCAAACAACGAGCCGTCGATAGCGGCTTTCAGAAGTGGACTGGAACAAGAGCGCAAGGGAAGAAAGTCCAGCATTCTTGAAGCGAGTCACTACGTGAGTAGCAACAATACCGCCAGACGGAAACTGTCCGAAGCGAAGCCAGGCTTGAGGCCAATTGATGAGACTTATGCCAAGCGAGAAAAGGATTTATTCAGGAAGCGAGCCCCAGCAAAGCTGAACCATCTGTCTACGATGCATCAACAGATGGCCGAGGACCAAGCAGTGCCGTGGTCGTCTGCCTTTAGTCGGATCAAGATGATGCACACTTTAGTCGACCTGTCTCACTTCATGTGATAATGATAGATCTTGTCAGTTTGTTAGTGTTTGAGCGCTTAACCAGCTGCTTGCTCTGTAAGCTTCCCGGGAAACTGAGAATGTTTCTGAGTGTTCTATGGTCTGCTGGGGTAATAATATAGTGTAAAGCGCATAGAGCTTGCTGTCGAGTGGGGATATGCGCTATACAAATGCTATTTAATTATTATTATTATTATTATTATTATTATTATTATTATTATTATTATTATTATTATTATTATTATTATTATTATTATTATTATTATTATAAAAATTATAGTGAGGTGAGGGCAACCATTAACCCCTTCACTGCTAGACCTGACATTCCCTTGAGTTGTTTGATAGGATTCTAAAGCAGGTTTGGAAGACAAAGGGTTGACTTATTAATGTTGTTTTTGCACGATACCAGTATTGGGTTCGCCGGTTCTACCAGTTTTACTTTATCATTTTTTTCAATTCAAAGCCACTTTTAGTTTAGTTTTAGTAGAGGTTTTACTGTGCTCGCAACTGCATAAGGTCATATGAGGGCCAGAAGATTAGAGGTGTTACAAGAGAGCAACAAATATAAAAAGAAGAAGAGAGATAAGGACGATAGATGTTTGATAGGACAGAAGAAGCAAACCACACCAAAGCCCCCTTTGCTGTATGTTAATCTGCTCACCAGCGTCTGTGGTCTAAGCTCAGGGGCTTCGCTGTCGCAAGCAGGAAACCCGAATTCGAATCCTGTCTGGGAAGAATTTAACAGAGTATTTCGGTTTGTCTGCTGGAATGTTGTATCGCTGTCCGCCCAGACCGGCTCTGACGTACAGGGTAGAAGCCTGCCTCCTTAATGATCTAAAATATGTTTATAGCGGAGGAAAATACCTTTTTCAAAAAAAAAACATTTTCAACCTGTATTCCCTGCTCCTTCACAAACAAATTGTATCATCTTATTAGCTGGCGCTTGTTTCTGCATTAGTCTCTCCACCCCCCCCCCCCCCCCCCTCCAAACAAAAAGTAATTTAAAAAAATAAAAATTCAGGGGTTTTTTTCTTTTGACGTCTATTTTGAGAAACCCTTCTTGGAAAAAAAGCGTGGCAGTACTTTGGCTTTTGACAGATTTTATTAACAGGGCCATACACATATTACATAACTCAGTATCTTTGAGCAGATATTCTCTTCAAATGCAACCAATCTACTTTGGAACAATGTTATATTTTTTATGTCACATTTCAATACTCAGTACAAGAACACGAATGCTATTGTTGTTGTAATTATAGTCTTGTTGTAGTTATTGCTGTTGCTGTTTCTGTGTTGTTCTGTTCTGGCTGGACTTAATTTATCTTCTGTTTTTTTATGTTGTGGTTTTTTGGGGGTTTTTTATTTTTTATTTTTTTGTTTAGTTTTCCTTGTTGTTTTTTGTATTTTGAAATTATTTGGAGGGGGTGGGGGTGCCGTTGCTGATGGTGCTTTTGTTGTAAGGATTGACATAGCAAGTCATGGGTATTGCAAACAGACTCAATGTCATAATAACTTATCGGCATCTTCAGGCCAAGTTGTAAGGGCATCACGGGCACCATCTCAGCTGTGTGAAATAACAGGCGCTTTGAAGCGTGCCGGTCCTAAATTTGAGCGAAGGGTATTATTCTGATATATTATTATTATCATGCAAAAATATGTGTCGTGAAACTCTAGCCTAACAAAAGCTGGAAAGACACTTGCAGGCAACTTTCTGCTTCGACCCTTATCGTATCGGAGATTGTTTGTGTTTTTTAAACTCTTTCATTTGACTGCTATTAATTCAAGTTCACATTTCTGCAATTTTCTGAACAAATCATAACTATAATAATATGGTGTAAAGAAACTACCCAAAAAAATTCGCGACTGAAAGCGGGGAAACGCTTACTGGAATACGACTATGGCTTCCTAAAATTTGAGATAATTTTAATACGCCAAGACATGTTACTGACTAGTTTCTAGAAATAATCCTTTAATAACTAAGTCCAGCAGTCTAGGTTTAAAAAAAACCGAACCCAAAACCATCTGGCTGTGGGATGCTTTTCCAGTAGTATCTTTTAAACGTTTTTCAAGTACCTGGCTCTCTGGACCCCGGGTGTTGTTTTCCCTCACTGCAGACTGTCGCTTTTAAGGACAAACGGGCTAACCCAGATTTCGGGGGTTTCCAGAAATCTTGACCAATACCAAAAGTGGGCATTGTCCTACGTATAGGAGAAGTTTGGATTCTTTGGTGTGTACATGATGTACACTATAGGTTTAAAAAGGAGATGACTCTATGGGTGTGTATGTTTGCTTGGTTATAGAGAAAACTCTCCTTGTCTTTTAATGAAACTGAATAAGGATCCAATAACTTTACCTTCGATTTTCTCAAGACAGCATTTTTCGGGATAGCCCCCTTGTGCTTAAAATCTTAAAAGCGATCAAATAATAATACAAGTGTCAAAAAGAATGACTTGCGACTAGTGTTCTGCTGTCCAGACCTCGTGAAAGTATAATACTGCGAAAAGTTGACGCCTGGATACATAGCAGCAGGGATCAGCTCCGAGTTTTCGGCTGACTCGTAGAATTTCAGACCAGAGTCAATTAATGGACGGCGAGATATAGAAACATACTAGCTGGGCCCCCTTTCGATGAAAGGAATGATAGGTGGTTTAATATCAACTAAAAGTCAATGGCCTACTATATTTACACTCTACTGGAATGGGGCAATAAATCTTGAGAGATTTAAAAAATCATAAGGTCTAGATCTCTCAAAACAAAATTGGGCCTCGCGAAATATCACTTCCCGATTTTCTTAAATTACCGAGACAGAAGCGTCGGCCTACAAAAGCGATCGGCGAAATGAAGAAATTTTTTGCAGCAAAACTGTCTCAAAACTGAAAAAACCAAGGGTGTCATGCTCTGGAGAATATTTTAAAGAATATTTTGACGAAAACCGCATGTCGATCGATGCAGCCATTAAAAGGCCTTTTGAATAGCAAAATTCGGCCACCACAAATAGATAATAGATGTAAGGCGTGCTGACAAAACGAGTTTCTTCTCGCAGTCCACAACTGGAGATATTAGCCAAAAATTGACACTAGGCTCAAATTAGTAGATTTTCTATTGATGCCATATTCTTTAAGTATAACAGGCCATTTTTCATACTTATAAATTAAATTGTAAAGACTTCCCCTATAAGTGTGATGTATCTATTTCCTTAAGGCCTGAATCCGAAAAACTTTGCTATTTTTTCCTTGATGTAGAAAAGAAGAACTTATTTCTATTGTCTATTTGTGGTGGCCGAATTTTGCTATTCAAAAGGCTTTTTAATGGCGGCATCGATCGATGTTTATGGCTGAGGAAAATACCTTTAAAAAAAATTTTTCAACCTGCATTCAACCTGGAGCAGCAAGAACAACAGACACCATTGCTGCAGCGAAGGACAGGGTGAAGTGGAGGCCCATGATCGCCCACGCCAGTCGGCAAGGCACCGGATGATGATGATGATCGATCGACATGCGGTTTACGCCAAAAGATTCTTTAAAATATTCTCCAGATCATGACGCCCTTCGGTTTTTTTCAGTTTTGAGACAGTTTTGCTGAAAAAAGCTAAATTTCTTTATTTCGCTGATCGCTTTTGTAGGCCGACGCTTCTGTCTTTGGAATTTTATAAAATCCGGGGCGGAAGTGATATTTTGCGAGGTGCATTTTGTTTTGAGAGTATAAATCTAGATCTAGATCTTCTAATTTTTCGCATCTCTCAAGATTTATTGTTCCATTCCAGTAGAGTGTAAATATAGTAGGCCAATGACTTTCAGTTGATGCTAATGCACCGATCATTCCTTTCATCGAAAGTGGGCCCAGCTAATATATTTTTCAAGACGTGACGGAGACATTGGGACAATACGTTTTTTCCGAATATTGTTTTTTTTATCTGCTTCACTGACAGGCCCTTGACTTTAGCAATGAAGCAGGTTTTAGCATAAAAATGCATTCCTGTGTTTCATAAATTTCAGCTAAAAGATACAAAAGTTC